ATTAAACATTCTTTTGCCTGCTGTGTTGGATAAAACAACATTTTTATACATTATTCTGCTGATTAACTGCAATTGCATTTCTCAGAATTGTAGATTTAAGCAATTCATTTTGCTATTGTCCTAAAATATTTGCAGAAGCAAATAATAAACCAGGCCAAATATATAGCAGAAATTTAGTCTCAGATGCAAGTAAAACCTTCCCTTGCTCTCCTTTTCTTTGTTCTTGAAGGTACTTTCATATTGGTTTTATGGGTAGGAAGGAAGGAATACTGCATTACTAAGTATATCATTGACCGTGATTTTCATGTCAAATATTTGGATTCTCAAAGTTAATGAGAAGTCAGTGCCTGAATTTTAAAATGATATCAAAGCATTTTTTTATATGCTATTATCTGCTTGTCATTTCTTTGATATTCCATTTCTACATGCCAAAGAGTTCTTAGCAACCTTGTATTCAGAAACAATAGATTTTATTAACATGGACGAGAGAGAAGTACTCATAAAAATAAATACAAATCATTAAGTTAAAAAAATCTACTCTCAAACTCATGATTGGAGTCATTTCCCCTTATAAGTCAAGACTATTTACTGTGTGAACCCATGATGGCAAAAAATTACAGTCATCTTTTTGCATTTCACATGTTTGCTTGAGAAATAATATTGAATGCACACTACTGATTAAGAAAACTTTCCTATGGTAAATCTAACTACTAGAGTTTCTGTTCATGCAGTTACTGGTGTTATCCAAGCAAGTTTATGGCCATTATTTAGCTACTGTCAAATATTCGTTGAAGATTTAAATCTTGAAGGCTTGAACGCTGACTCCTTGCCTCCCTTAGAGGCCATCTTCTCTTAAAATGTTTGGGGTGAAAGCAATTTGTAAATTATTTACTGTTGATCAGCGCAGCCCTTACCTGACTTCTGTGATGTCGTTAAACTTCTAACTTCATTATCTGTATTATTTTATTTGCTAGTTTGCTATTCTTTGCTTTATTTTCCCTAATGCAGTTAAAATGGGGTGGATGTTTGGAAAAACTTATATACCAAAGTTTTGGGGAAAACAAAGAATGCTAGGCCTCACTTTTCTTAGAAATACAACTACCAAACATAAACATGGCTTCTGACCCTAGACCTGGCTTTTTAAAAAAATCATCTTGAGATTCCACTTTCTTGAGCTGGTTCAACCCATCCTTCTTTTTAGGATCCCAGCCAAAATCTCTGGAAAGTCTTTCTATTTAAATATATTTAATTTGAGTACTGCATTATGTCTGATGGGTCTAAAGTTTTATAGCTACACAGACCCATGGGTGAATTTACCTACATTTAGAGAAATAGTGTTCTCCCTAAGAAAAACATTTCCCCTTGCTAGACCAGTGGGCTCAAATGGTAGCCAATTTTCACACTAACTTTTCTTCAGTTAGACCAAATTAACATTTAATTTAATTGAATCAAACAAATATACATATTGCAAACTTTGATGGAGAGAATTGAAGGTGAGAAGGTCACTTAAAAGCCTTTTCATTAGATCAGGAATGAAGATACAGGGAGAGAAGTTGGAATGGAAAGAAGAGAAGGCTTCACAGGTCTTGATGGTTTGGGTGTAGGGCTAGAAGAGAATGTGATTCCTCAAGCCACTTTGGAGTTTTGAGCATTGAAAAGTGGCAGTCTTCTGGTGCCATTGTCAGAGAATGGGAGTCATGGGAGGGGAACAAATATGAATTAGAAGTGACTTTTGTCATCTGGTGAAAATGTCCAGGAGGCTGTGGAGATATGGGCAGAAAGCTCAGAGAAGTGGATGATGTTTGTGATATAAATTTGTGTTTCATCGGCTTGGGTGACCCTGAAGATCAATGGGTTAGAGAAGAAAGTGTGGAGAAAGAAGGAACAAACTGGTGATTAGTTCATGCTTATCTCTCCTTCTCTCTTTAAATATGGCTACCACTGGTGTGTCCTTAGCTCAGCAAAAACAGGTGAAAAGATTTTCAAGAGGGATAAATCTTAATCTGTAGAGAACAGATTTTTTATCTATAAACACACTATTCATACAGTGGCTTACATACTTTATAATAACTCGGTGTTACAATAATAGGTAACACTTATTTAATACTAACTGTATACCAAGTGCTGATAGACATGTAATAACTCATTTATCTGTGCATAAATCTTAACATATAGGGAATAGCATTATTATTTATTTTAAAGATTTTATTATTTATTTGAGAGAGAGCTCACTTGTGAGAGAACATGAACTGGGGGGAGGGGTGGAAAGAGAGGGAGAAGCAGACTCCCCGCCGAGCAGGGAGCACAAGGAAAAGGACAGATGTGGGGCTAAATCCCAGAAGCCCGGGATCATGACCTGAGCCAAAGGCAGACGCTTAACCGACTGAGTCACCCAGGCACCCCAATAACTTATTTTTATCAGTGCCTTTTTACAAAGAAGGAAACTGAGGTACAGAGATGTTAAATAACTTCTAATGACCTGTTGCTATTAAGTGGTTTAGCGAGGGTCTGAACCCAAGTAGTCTGTTTCCAAACACATACTTTAATCATTGTGCTCAACTCCCCTCAGATAAAATCATCCCTATGTAAGTCTTTTCTTTCCCCCTCTGAAATGGCTTTTTATTGAAAAGCAAAGCACGGCACCTGGGTGGCTCAATGAGTTAACGCCTCTGCCTTCTGCTCAGGTCACGATGCCAGGGTCCTGGGATCGAGCCCCGCATCAGGCTCTCTGCTCAGTGGGGAGCCTGCTTCCTCCTCTCTGCCTGCCTCTCTGTCTACTTATGATCTCTGTTTGTCAAATGAGTAAATAAAATCTTTAAAACAAACAAAAAAAAAAGGCAAAGCAAATTTGCAACACATTTTTAAATGTTTGTAAATTGGGTCACAAAAGGGATGCAAAATGTTTGCAGAATAACTATTATATTCATGCAGCTTATGTCATTCATTGAATCTTACACCAGTACAAACATAAGGTTATTTCATGACTAAGAGTAGCCCAAATTTGGGCACCTGGGTGTCTCAGTCAGTTAAGCATCTGACTCTTGATCTCAGTTCAGGTCTTTATCTTAGGGTCCTGAGTTCAGACCCTGTGTAGGGCTCTTCCCTGGATGTGGAGCCTACTTAGAAAAAAAAAAAAAAAAGAATTAAAGAAAGAGTAGCCCAAATCTAATAACCAAAACTGTATTAGTATCAGAAGTAATATTAAAATGTTAAATGGAAAAGATATCCACTAATTTTCTTACCAAATGGAATCTACAAACTAAATTTTTAGAAACTGTAAAAAGAATGACTAAAACTATAAACCAAGCAGTTAGGTTTATAGAAAATTCCGGGGAAAGTAGTGAAATAAAATACTGAGAAAATAATCAATTAGTATGCATGTAAAACACTCCCATTTTAGTCACAATTTTGATACTAATACACTGTAAAGGGATTTCGCAAAAGTTGATCAGCTAGGTGCTACAAATAAACCTTGAGACTCAATTCTCTGAATTGTTATCTTCTAGATGTGGTTTACTTGAGGTTAGTCACATTTCATCTACTTTCTTGTATGTTTTCCCAGAAAGATCTAGTCTCTACCAGAGATCACACAATCTGTAGTAAAATCATTTAGAGATGGTTACTACTGTTTGCCAAGTACTTTTGCCATCCTATTTCTATTTTTCCTCAAAATTTTCTTTTTCAGATGTATAACCAGCACTCATCTTTTCAGGTGCCAAGTGGATTATTTGGTCTACGCAACAATCTCTGATAGGCCTTTTCCAGCATTGTCCTCCTTTAGAAGTAGTCGTGTGGTTATTATGTTTTATGTGATGAGGACTCTCTTAGGGCTACATGTTGACATATCACCCAACAGGTTGTGGATGTTTCACATTATATTTTCAATAGTCTATTAGATAGCATCTTGTTTGAAAGGAAATACATCAGTATGTCATGTTGTAGAGAGAATGTGGTATGGCAAAAGGACCTGCTAGAGTCTGCTGTATGGAGATCAGCTGTCAAGCTAAAAAATAAAATGTTTATATTATAAATAAGGCTGAACAATGCACATGGTTTAATGCATTTATGAATTAAGCCTCAAACATCACTGGTATTCATTAGTGAGTTTGGGAATAATGCTCTCTACCAACACAGCAATTTTCTGTTGATTTAAGTAACTAGGAAATTAGAGAGTAGTTTCTTCCTAAGTTTCTCAGATTTATTACACCAGAGTATTTCCTCTTGGGGCAGACTTGGGCTGGATTTACATCACAATATCACATTCACTCATTTTTTTTTTTTTAAGTTTATTTATTTGAGAGAGAGAGAGAGGGAGAGAGCAAGATTGAGTGTGATGTGGGGCACAGGGGCAGATAGAGAAGGAGAGGGAGAATCCTCAAGCAGACTCCTCACTGAGCATGGAGCCTGACGTGGGCCTCAATCCCAGGACTCAGAGATCATGACCTGAAGGAAAATCAAGAGTCGGACACTTAACTGTTGAGCCACCCAGATAACCCTCACATTCACTCATTCTAGTAATAAGTCACTGCACAACCATTTCTAGTCACTGTCCCAAGTTTTGTTTAGATAATGGCAGAAAATGTGCAGAAGGATAGAGCACGAGGACGCCAAGGCAAGCCTGTGAGCAAAATTTAGAGAGCCAGAGGTGGAAATGTGGCACAGTTGCAAAATGCCAAGAACCAGAGATCAGGATGGAGCTGGGTCCAAGAGCTGGTAAATACTGAATAGTGTGAACACATACAAACCAAGCAGAAAAGATAAGATGGCAAAAACCAGATGAATATTGGTTCATTTCACAAACATGTTATATAACCTATGGTAGACATTTGAGATAAAGAGATTACCAATTTTCTTGTCCTTGGAAATATATGTGTGGATTTCTTTCCACTTGGAAATATCATGGTCGCCAAAGTGTTTCTAGAACTGGCATTTTTTTTATGTGTAGGCTCTGTGCTATAATATTCTTTGCTTTATGCTTTTGTTTTGTTTTTCTTATGCAGGTTGTTTTTCAAGGTCAAATAATTTCAACTCCTGAACAGGATGAAGTCATAGCTATTGACGATATATCTTTCAGTTCAGGCTGCTTGCCTGCAAATGGTAAGAACTTTTTCTCATTTTAATCCTTACTATGTGTATAAATTCAGTGCATTTTAAACATTGTGTAATGACTTTCATTCTTTGAATGAAATGAAAGCATTGTGTATGCTCATTCGTTCGTTCTTTCTTTCTGGCCTGATGTTTTAAAGTGGGCTATTTTCCATTGTATAACAATGTCTAGGTTTATGCCAGAAGTTAAAATAAGTTGTTTTTGCACTGTGACTGATGCTGTTAAGAGTTGAAGGGATAATTTGGTCTCAGATTTGAAACCTTGTAGCAATGTTTACACTGGCTAGTTAAATCTCACCAAGAGAACTCCTTGCCCCTTAGGAGAAAAGTGAAAACTGGCTTCTCCAGGCTTGAAAATGTCTTCTTGGTGAATTGATTTGACTCTTCCACTGAAAGACACAGCTGGAGGGAGAAAGATATTAGTTATAATCTATTTTCTATTTAGACTGAAATAGCTAGATCAATAATCCACATATATCAGATCTAAAAAATTACTCATATTTGTTCTCTGATTATATTAACTGAATTCTATTTACCATGCATATTGCTCTCAATAGAAAAGTTTAATGTTAAAATTATGAATTGGTCAGGATAAATTAATTTAGTCTAATGATCATGCAAGAATCATATATATGATTATAGATCGTTGATAGATTTTTTTTCCCTTTAAAATGTTATTATACTGTAGTATGAGATAGCATAATATAGCTACTTTGTCGAGAGGATTCTAAGTTCTAATTTGGTACAAAGATATGGTAGTTGTGGTAAATTATATTTCGAGAACAGAAGAGATGAGTTGATCTACCTAAAAGAGACCAAGGAATCTTGACAAAGGATGCCTGTATCATGCTTCGCTCTTAGACAACACTTCTGCTGGTAGCAGAGCTTTATAGGAATGCATCTCTTGACACTTAGACAAGATGGTAGGGTTTTATAGGAGCTGCTGACAGCTCCTTCCACACTAGAACACAAAAAGCTTTCTCTCATCTTTATATTATCAGTTATCAGTATATTTTAGCTAAGAAATCACTATATGGTAAATTGAAATTTAGATAAATTGAAATGGAGAACTAAGGGAGCAGACTATAAGGTCCACCCATTCCCAGAAGTAAAGAGTTGAAGTATAAACCTCAATGCCTTTTCACCAACAGAAGATAATATTTCTAGGATTTATCAGAAGGGAACCAATAGATCAGGAGAGAATACACTGTTGACCGCAGGCAGAGAAGACCCAACTACTGACTGCTCTGCCGTTCAGTCTCCCCTCATGCTGTCTCCTCAGTTACCCTGGATGGTATTCCTGGATCCAGAGCGCGGCTTGTAATGGGTCAGTTTGGTTTGCTTGGTTTGTAATAGGGCAGCTGGTCCCTAACTGTGAGCACTTCAGCAGTATCTTTATATATCACCTTTTCTTAATAGTTTCTACAGAAACTGAGATCTGCCAAACAAATTGATCCCCAGCTAGTCATGTGTATTGCTCGGTCTAGCTAATCATCCCCCAAAGAAAATAAGGAATGAAATCAGCTATTGGCCAGACTTTCCTAACTGTAGGGAAAATTAGGACCTGGCCTCTGCCTCTAAAACTTTGCATTACGACAAAGAGGAACATGCTGGGGTTGGGCTTGGGACTTTACATCGCCTGTATTAGGACTCTGCTGTCATTTCACAGATGACCTTTCTGTTCATCTTTGGATCTGGGAACCAAAGCCATTTCCTTAATTCCTCATGATCCATCTACTGGGACAAAGGCCGGTGTAGATGGACCATAATAAATATTCAGAAGACAGATGCCAGATTTTTAGTAAGCACTTAAAAGAGCTCTATAAGATCACTATAGAAGTGAAAAAGCAATAGTCACAGGAGTGAGAGCACAAAAAGTTGGACATTCAATGAAAGGTCATGGTCAAATAGAAAAAATATTGGTGTCTATAATTTCTAAGACGATAGTTCCAGATAATGTTACAGCCATATTGTTTTTGAGGTGGTGTGGAAATAAAGTTTACTGAAGATAAGGCTTGAATTAAAGCAAAGTTACAGGCCTTTCACATGGATATTAAATTTATGCAACATTACAAGGTATGGGGCTAGAGAAGATTTTGAAATCCCAAACTGAAGTCGTCCATGAATACAGATGCATGGATGACCCAGGGCAATAAGTTGGATGTCATGAGCCAAGATGTTTTTACACATGGAAGAATAAATGAATCAACATCGGGGATTTAGAAGAATGGCGACCTTTAATTTTAGGCCTTGTATTTATTGGGGCATTGGGAAAAGATATCATCCCTCTGGAGATTTGCAAAAGAAGTAGTCTCTTTTTGGAAAACGCCAGTATCCAGATAAGGTCACACAGTATGTTCTTTTAACTTGAGGGTGCAGGGAGTTTTGTTTTATTGTTTTTCAAATGGAATGAGGGTCGATGGCATATTTAAACTTACGGGAGGAAAACAAAGCAGCATGAGGTTTAATAATGGAGAAAAAGAATAAAGTGTAATGGAATAGGATTGACATTTGGTTGGAGTTGCATTTTGTAAATGGTAGGAGTGTGAGAGATGGTAATATTATGTAACATTAAATTTCCAAATGAGGGGCACCTGGGTGGCTCAGTGGGTTAAAGCCCCTGCCTTCTGCTCAAGTCATGATCCCAGGGTCCTGGGATAGAGACCCACATCGGGTTCTCTGCTCAGCAGGGAGCTTGCTTCCTCCTCTCTCTCTGCCTGCCTCTCTGCCTACTTGTGATCTCTGTCTGTCAAATAAATATATAAAATCTTTTAAAAAAAATTCCAAATGATTCTTTCTAGTCAAGTTCAGAGGTTATAGTGATAGACTAGCCCTAGTCAATCACTAGAATCAAAGAGAGGTGATTGATTCTGAGCTTTATTAGACTATTAGATGGGGATCACTGAGGATGGGGCCTGCATTTTAAAGAAGGTTCTCGGGACACATTTTGTGAAACCAGCTGATCTCAGGTTTAAGAACTGAACTAGGATTTGGGGTACCTGGGTGGCTCAGTGGGTTAAGCAATGGACTCTTTATTTTGGCTCAGTTCATGATCTCAGGGTCATGGAGGCTGCTCTCTCTCCCTCTTTCTCTCTCTCTGCCCCCCACCCCCCTGCAGCCCCTGTATGCATCCATTCACTCTCTCACTCTTAAAAAAAAAAAAAAAAAAAAAGCATCTGGGAGTCATGCATCCTGGTCTCATGCTGATTATTGCACTTGGCAGGGAGTGTCCTGAGACAGAGTTCCAGCTGATGAGAGAGTGGTTTCAGTCCCATGCAGTCCTGATGGTGATGATCAGGGTGCATCTGAGACATGCAGGCAGAGCCGACTCAACCTTTTCCAGACATCACCATCAGAAATCTTACTCCAGTGGAGGGTGGGGTTAGGGATGCATTTGGATGCAAAAAAAAAAAAGAGAAGAGTTTTCTAGTTGACTTAAGAAAACAAGAGGAGAGGGACAGTTACGACGTAGATTCTTCAACTTTGATACTGTTAAAGTCAAGGACTAAGGGATTTCCTTGGTATTTACTTCATGCCTGTCACCTTATATTCTTAAAATGACTGTTGAGGTTCTGTACATCTCACATCCAGGCAGGAGGAAGGCAGAAATGAGAAAGGGCAATGTTTTTGGTCATGCCATTGGCTAGAGGATGGTCACATGGCTACCTCGGTTGCTAGGCAGACTAATAAATTTGAGTATTGGGATTCAGCCTCTATAATAGAGGCAGGCAAGGAAAACAGGTTTATGAGATGAGTGAGCAAACGGATCAGAATACTTAGAAGTAAATTCTAGCTTTCTTTCAAATCCGTTCCTTGCGTATATTCTCTTTTTAAATTATTGACATCTGGTCTCACTCAGTAGCCTAGGAGATATTCTTAAGTCATTCTCCCCTTTTCGTATCCCTCTATTAATCTAGTTAAAAAATAGCAGTGAGGGCCTGTTCTTACATTTTTCAAATTGTCTTCTGTTATTTACCATTATTATTTATCCAACTGTGATTCCCTTAAGCATGTATTTTTTTCCCATGGATTTTTTAAAATTCTGGTTTTGATCTATTCAACTCTACTACCCAGTACTATGTACTGTCCACCAGATTATACTTTCTGACATACAAATATGACCAATCTCTACTTTTTAAAATATATCAATAACTCTTTTTTTTTTTAAGATTTTATTTATTTATTTTGACAGAGAGATCACAAGCAGGCAGAGAGGCAGGCAGAGAGAGAGGAGGAAGCAGGCTCCCTGCTGAGCAGAGAGCCCGATGCGGGGCTCGATCCCAGGACTCTGAGATCATGACCCGAGCCGT